GTCCCCTAAGGGGCAGATGGAGAGCCGGGACCCTCGGGAAGGGACCCCACGGCCACCACCTGCTGCAGTCCCCAGGCTGTGTAAACAGACTTGCTGCCCACCAACATTAAAGTGCGGCAAGCGTTTGTACCTCCACATCGCGGTCAATGCCACTTGTTTACTGTCACCAACAGGTCCATTTTTCTTTCTTCTTTTTTCTTTTTTTTTTTTTTTCCCCTCTCTCAACACATAGGTGTCCAAAGCCCCATTCCCAGCCCCTCTCAGCAGACTGAGAAGCCCCCATGTTCACCGTGGAAGTTGTTTCATTGTGGTTATCACATACGTTTCCCTACCACACTACTCCTACCTCTTTTGTTAGATTTAGGCCATCCCAAAGATTCCCGAGCCATCCCCCGGCTGCCGGAGCGCTGGGACGGCCAGCTGCCACGCAAGCTCGTCCTTGCCAGGGGCTGGCTCCTGCCTGCACGTCCACTGGGAATATCCCGGGTGAAAAAAACCTCACCAAAGAGGAAGACGGGCACCCAAATCTCCCGTCAGTCCTGGCCGGTACAGCACGAAGGGCAGCAGATACCCAGGGGCAGGGGCACATGCACAGATGGCGACGGCACAAGAGTGACCTATGTGATTTTCCGCTTCAGTAGCCCAAATGTGAAAGAGGGGAAAAAAAGAAAACAACCACCAAACCAAAACAACCGACCAATGCCTGGTTTTTATCTCCCATTTTTCACAGCTGGGTCTGAAGGACCCAAGGTCATGGTTTTCCCCTATCAGCCCGTGCTCGGAGCACGCCAGCAGTCCCTCGCAGCAGCCCCGGCCGTGCAGAGCCATCCCCGCCTGGAAAAGCATCTTCCAAGTCTGCCTTTTCCAGTCTGGCCAAGCCAGGCTCAATGTATGTTTTGGTCTGCGTGTTATTTATCTGAGTCACCGGAGCAGCACTGTAACTGTCAGCCTGCTGATGCTCTACCAAGTACGCACAGAGCCAGGGTGATTTTGATATATCGCCGAGACGCTGCAGCAAGCTTACTGCTCTGAGCCATGGCTCTCCATTAAAAGTAAAATAAATAAAACCCCTGCTTTCTTATAACGAAAGCTTCTTGGATTGGTTTCTCCTTTCCCCTGGAAAATTAAAGTAGATGAAAAAGATCTTCAACCTGGGGACTGCGAGCTTGGAAGACACATCCCGAGCACACAGACCACCTCCCGAGAGCTGCACGTCCTGATCCGGAGCACGGCAAACCCCGAGGAGCTACGCCGTGCAGCTGCCTGCGAGGCAGGGCGGCAGCCTGGGAGGGCCCTGCTCGTCTGTACAAACACCTGCATCTCTCCTAATGCTCCTGCATCTTTCTTAACGCTCCCATACTCGCCTGGGGCTGGAACAGCAGCCTGGCAAGGCAGGCTTCCTTTGGAAAAGGTACTGGACAACATGAGCTGGGAAACAGAAATTTGGCCCCCATTTGGTGTTTGGGTGATGCTTAAAGGCGTGGTGCTTCAGGGCTACAGATTTCACGCGACCTGGCCCCAGCTGGGGCTACCAAGTGGTCCTGGCTCCATTAGCCCAGAGTAGTCACCGAGGCAAATCAGCACAAGGGACCGGGACATCCGAGGGCAAAGTCATCAGCGCAGGAAGATGCCAACACAATACCACCGTCCCAATGCCGACGGCACCTAGAGGGGAAGGACTTTTTGGTTTTGGAGGAAACATCCAGGTTTCTGTCTGGACATGTCCCGTAGCCCCTGTGCTGCTGAGCAGAGATGGCACCGTGGTCCAGGCACCAGGCTGGGCATCATCTAGCCCTGCTGCAGAGCTTGCTGCGGGGCTGTGAGCATGACCTGCCCTTCAAAGGCAAGGGGGAGAAGCAGGAGCCACGATGCAGGAGTCAGCGGGAGCGACAGCGCTGGTGCAAACCCCACCGAGGCGGTCAGGTTGTGCTAATACATGAGACACGCTGCCCTTGCTTCAGAGCAGAGGCTGCGAGGCCAAGCGGGCTGCCGTGTCCCACT